GTTATAATACCTCGCAAAGGTTTGAGAGTTTCCAGACCAACTTGCCGCGCGCTTAATGAATTCTGTATTAACTCCTTAAGTAGAGTAACTAATGATGTAACGGCGTGACAAGTACTATGTGATGTTCCTGCAGGCCTTTGAAGATCTAATGACTTATTATTTGGACACCTACTGGTTTATGTAGGCGATAAATAGAGAATCACATATTTGGCTAGATTCTTAGTGGTATTCAAATATAACTCTGAGATGGACACGATATAAAGCTCCGGATAATCGATAAATCACGAGAAGATAAGTAACGACTGCGTACAGGGCGGATATTTTAATGTGATCTGGGATTTTAATAAAAAGTTTATCTTTAGAGAGTACACAATATGTTAAATCCTGATGGCTGCGAGCGTTTGAGCGCGTTGACCTGATCCTAAGACTAGCAAAATTAATTTCCTAGTTAAAATATCTAGTGGTAATAAATCGTGCGTAGAGTTTTGCCAGTTCCGCAATCACAGGTGGATCCCAAATGAATTCATATTGTGGTTTAAAAATGCTGACGCCCTTACAGAACCGTTTGATAAGGGGATGATTACTAATTGAGTTTTCAGAAATAAGCGAGATTGCAAAACGTATGGTGTCTAGAGGTGAGTAGGAGCCAATGTTTTGAAACTTCTGAATCAGAAAAAAGAGAACCCGGTCAATTCTAAGTGAGAAAGGAGGGATCTGTTGATCCTAACAAAACATCCACCAAGAACGCAGTGGACGACAGTATTGTTTTATCGTAGCTGGTGACAGTGATGGTCCAGTGCTGCTGAAGGAACTGCCTGCGATTGGAAAGGCTCCCTGATAATTTCTCTACCACTAGGGAAAAGTTTTTCCATTCTGGATATGGAATCCTGAGAGGAAACAATAACAAAGAATGAGATGATGGCAATAATGAGTGAGGGTTGAAAATTAGCAAGCGAAGATACAAGGGGAATCAGGATTGTGCGGGCCGCCAAGGCACAAGCATGACTGCTACGACGTACTTGTCTATAATTTTACGCAGAACTTTCGGATAAACTTTAAGATAAACGGGAGGAAAGCATAAAAACGAAGCTGTTGCCAAGGTAATATAAAGGCATCAATTGTCCGAAAATCTGGGTCGGGGAGCCAGGAAATATATGTTTTCTCATTCTGTCAGAGACACGTCGGAAAAGATTTTGTATAGGAATTTGGGCGAATTACATTCACTTGATTATCATTAGAAAATACATTGATCTACCATTCCAAATCGTCCCTCAAATATGGAGCAACATCCGCGCGTTATAATTGCCTGCATTGGTTTCGAGAGCTAGGAACTTTTCCCTTACGAATCTTTTTACATATAATTCTGTATTGAACCGCTGGACAAATCACAATCAGGGATCCTATCATGCCTGCAAATGTTCTAATCAAGCATTGTGACCTTTGCAACATATCCCGCATTAAGGCTAAGAGTTTACATCTTTTAGCGGGATGATCACCGATTGCTTGACTGAATTAAAAATGAAGCCCAGATATTTACATTTCAAAGGCACAATCTATGATTTAGAATAGTTAACTAGAAAACTAAGTTCTGCAAGCAAGCTTAATGGTGCAATCACATTCTCCTGGCATTCTTTCTTTGTTGTGCCTAGAATCAGATGATTATCTAAATAAATAACGGATTAGAAGTCCTTTTCTCTTAATATTTTAATAATCGGGCGCATGAGTTTGGTGAAGATGGCACTGTGGTCAAACCAAAGGGCAAGCACATCAATTCAAATAACGTTTTCCCATTGAAAGCGGAGAAACTTTCTGTGCAAAGAGTGCACAAGAACTAGAAAGTAAGAGTCTTTGAAATCCAATGAGATCATATAGCAATTTGGCGTCATAAGCCTTATCACAGAGTGCCAGTCTTCCATTTTTAAGAGGGAGGGGAGGAAGGATATAAATTTAAATTTTAAATTTATATTAAGTTTAATTTATTACAAAGCTATAAGAAAAAGACTACATGTCAACAGAGACTACATATTAACAGAGTAATAGACATAAAGTATGATACAGTAGACTACAGTTAACATAAACATAAATGCAATGGACAATAGTAGCAAATGGTTAGGCGTCAGCAAAATTGCTGTTACAAAGTCTATCAGTAACAAAACCAGAATAAGACAACAAAAGAGGTAAACTAATAGTTGAAAACATACACATACATATACACCTACATACATACACACACATACATACCCTCACACACATACATACACTCCCAAATATACCAATTACATCAGTCTCGTTTGAATACTGTGAGTGACGCAATGAAACGCGAGAACGAAAGGAGGATAGAAGAGTATTCGAGAGAAAGAGAGAAAATACAATACAAGACGGCACAGGTGGAGAATAAAACGTTGCCAAATTTTAAGCCATATCTCTGATACGGAGATATGTGGTCGTATTTACGAATACAATAGGAGAAGCGGAGACAAGAATTTTGGATACGCTGTACACGATTTAGCAGATGTTGGTTAAAAGCAGAAACGTAGACGACATCAGTATAATCAAATAGAGAAATAACAAATAATTAAGAAGTGAGAAATTTTTGAGAGCAAAAAAGGATGCGGCGAAGAGAATAAAGAAGACGTAAACGAACATAACCAGTCCGACACTTGACGGCCACGTGTGATTGGAATGACCATGAAGAGTCAACATGGACACCAAGAATCTTAATAGAGGAGGAGCGAGGAATTGGAAGAGAAATATCAAAGGACTGAATACGGGATAACAATAATGAGGAATCGACAATTAGTAAGAATGATTTAGAAGGATTTAGATACAGGGCATTATTAGTGGATCATTCGGTGATAGATTTTAAGTCTATTCAAAGCAGAACAAGTTGCTAAAAATTAAATATATAAATTCAAATTTTTGAGATTTAAAATAAATCGTAATCCTCTTGATATTTTTTGACTAAAAAAAAGAAAGATGAAAATTGATCTGCAAATTGGATTATACAACAAGAATTATAGCTCTCTCTCTCGACATAGGTGATTAACTTCTCCGTCACAATTTTCAGTACCTTCCGTAGAGAAAATCGGTTCTCTTAGGTAAGAGTGAGAGGGCGTTATTGCAAAATGGATTCTATAATCGCTCATTATTTCAAGTACTTTAGAATCGAATGATATTCTCCTCCACTGATCCGCAAAATGGACTAAGCGACCCGCTGATGTGACAGTTTCTAGTGGCGGGACCGGCCTCTGGATTCTGGATCGGGACAATATTCTTCTGCTGCGACTCAAGTAATGGGAACCCTTCCTCGATTGATGAATCGCAGGAGTCTTGTGACGAGGAGCCTCGGAATTTATTTGTTTTCTTTGAGGTTCCCAAAGGGGTTGATAGTTCAATTGAAACGTTGAGTTTCGCCGGTTTCGACTGTTGACCAGATAATTGCGGCATCTTCTTAGCTATTTTACTTTCTTAGTTACTTTTTTAATGGCCTTTTTACTTTTTAATGTGCCGCATTAATTTCCTCTGCAAAATTATTGCCGAAGAGACAATCGTTAATTGGTGCTACGTGATGCCGATTTTCCTAGAAAATTGAACGAAGGGCTAATAAACACTTGTCTCGCTTGAGAAAAGCGAAAATGTAGATCTGTCAATAGGCGAAAGCCCTCAACGATTTTAGTGAGTCTTGCCCACTGATGATAGATGCACGCACATTTCAATTCTGCATGCTCTGACATCCCCAAGCCATTTATTGATGCATCCAATTGGACCTGGGATTGCATCTGATGATTATCTCTGGTAATGACACTCATTGGGTAGATCTCCTTATCGACTTTCGGAGGATTAAGAAAAACTAGATCCTTTCTCGTAAGATAAGGAGGATATTCTTAAAAGTATCTTTGAGGTCTGAATGCGTACTTCTGTCTTGGCGATATTGAGAATGATCGGTGGCCAAGACATCACTGCAGGTGTTTGTATTTGCTCGCCGAACAGCTCTAGAGTAAAATCATCCTGTCCCGTTATTTCACCGTCCTATCATTCTCCTAAAGATTTAACACCACTGGAGAATCAATAGAGATGTTGTCAGTCTGGATAATATGTGGAAGTGGACAGGCACCTGCCAGGAAAAAAGAAGTGTGATAGTAGGCACGAGCAGTCTGTTATGTCTATTGTTCTGATTTTCCTTGAGAAAAGAACAGATCCTGACAAATGGGAGATACCAGGTTCGCCGTCACGATCGAAAAGGACCGTCTGTTTGCCTAATATGCGTAACGGATGCCTCGCCGGGCTCATCCGAGAATGCCGCAGCTTCTTCGAATGGAAGTAGACTTGCAGATCTGCTAAGATCCGCCGGCGCCTCCCAGGCGTCAAGCCTCACATCGTTTAAGAAAATCTAAAAAGTCACAAAGCTTCTTCTAATCCTACCGGATATGATGGGATAGAGACGAGTCTCTCAAAACTCTGTGCGGCGATCTCTCTCCCTTAAGAAGATTATGTAACGATTGCGAATCAGTACGAGATTTCTCGTGCGATTCCCTTCGATTGTGTTTTCACTTTCTCGAAAGGCTTGGTAAGTAACGCCTATCATGTTTTGGCATGTTAAATCTTTAGAAATTGACAGGAAAAAGTTATTGAAGAAAAAACTGTTACTCATATACGAACAGAAAACACAATGAGAGGAGATGTGATGGCACACAAGGAAGTCACGGAAAGAGATGCACGCGCCATTTTTAGTTACAAGCAAGAGCTGTGAACTCTGTTGATAATACGAACATGGAAGCACATAGTTTATCCATCCGGACGAGACTAGGGCATAATTGAATAATTCCAATAGGAATTCCATTTCGAATTATTTCGTAATACATACGAAATCACGTTTAACACTTGCTTGACAATTGATGTTGCTTCATACTTCGAAACGAAGAGAGAAAAGGACATGTAGTGAGATCTGATAAAGATGCATAGAGAAATCAGTCGCAGTAACATCATTTATTTCTTTACAGTTGGCAGGTCTGGGTCAATAAACGCTATTTCGACTTGTAAAAGGGGCATAATTTGCTCAAACTGAACACATTATGTCAATCTCTTCCATCATGTCATGAAGGGATACATAAATTACAAATATTGGTAAGATTAAGTAAAAAAAGATAATCTATAATTATAATCTCTGTCATTTTTTATGCTTTATACTAATTATAGAGTACCAAAATAACAGATAAAGCATTTGATGAAGGCTGGTATCAATTAGGACCATCATTGAAACGTATATTTATATTATTGATAATATCTAATAACTTAGAATGTAAAATTGCGGCGATTGGAAAATTTAATTTGTCTCTACCTTCATTTATGACGGTAAGATTTATTGTATGCACTGAGGAAACAGATATTAAATTTTAATAATAAATATTTATTTGAATATTATCGTAGAGGAATATTTACGGTAAATAAATATTTAGATAAAAAATGATAATTGAATTAAATTAATGATTCTTGTATCTAATAAATATATGTTTATATTTAGTAAATATTTCGCTAGGATTATTCAGAGAAAAATTTATAAAAATTTAGTAAATTTTTTCTCGGTATATCTATGTTCCTTATACTCATTGCAATAATTAGCATAGCTTCAACTTTCTTATGTCATACTTTTTAATGATATTTTAGATTATAAATCAATCATATTCAATCGCCCTTCTGTTTTTAAAAGCGAGATGAAAAATGTATCACGCACATTTAAATTTAGTAGTATAGAATAGAAAATTATTATTTTGAGACAGGAAAAATTAAAATACTTTAAGAAAAAAAAATAAATTTATGTTTTACAATAATATTATGTTTATTAATAATCCAATGATTACAGTTAAAATAATATAATGGGCTACATGTGGATAACGTTATGATATTGCTTACTAGAAATAACTGTTATTTTCGATCCTTTTTTTTTATTCTTTAACCTAATAAAAAAATAATTTATTGTATTTATAATAATTGTAACACTGATTTTAGTGAAAAAAAATCAGCACTCATATTTCAATAATTATGTTACGTCCAAGCTCCGCACACAAGGAGTTGAGGGGGGAACGCAACAGGAATCGAATTTTTAGACCGATTTGATCGTGTCCAGGCTCCGGACCGCAAGGAAGGAAGGACCGATGCAAATTGGGAGGCACTTCGCTTCCTCCTACGACTCTTAAGGAGCCGAGCGTCGACCGGTTAGAACATCGACCGTCAGAACACGATTATCGAACGCGGCGTCGATCTCTTGCCAGACGAGAGATCTTTCGTCATCATTCGCGTACTCGCCACTCGCGTACCCGTCACCATCGTGTACGAAACGTCGCTCCAATTGTATCTACCCGCGAGTCACGCGATCCAATTGTCCTCGCGGATTGTTTATGTTTAACGGCGAGGCACGAACGCTTGGCACGACAAAGTTCTTCGAGCCGCTCGATGCACTCGTCGTATCGTTGCAGAAACACTCCACCAGAGTAGCGACCTGGCCGCATTGCTCCAGCAGTTAGCGTTCCACTCGCTCGTGATTTTCGATGTTTTTTTCACAGTCTTTAGATCATGTCACACTCTTACATGAAGCACTTGCACGTGACTCGTTCACACATGTTACAGCACGCTTTACATCTAAAATGTCATAGTGTTTTACTAACTCGGTATTGTGTTTCCAGGCGAGCATACACTTTTCACACTTACGCATGCACATAAAATCATCGCAGTCGTCATAAAACAGTTTTTAAGTAGGATTCTCCTCGCAATCATAATATGGCATCATTAACTGGTCAATTATCAGCAGACTTCGACGCACTTCTCACTATCCGTGAAATTCTTAATGCACCTGCAGCTATATCGAACCTTCTTCTCACTTTTTATTGACCGATAACACTGTTCCTTTATTAAACCGCCATCTTTGTACTAAAATCTCTCTTCGAAGTCAATGTTCCGTCATTCTGCTCCTACTCGCCAATATTCCATTTCGTCATCATTATCGTCATTGATAACGACTCCCTGTTTCTTATTGCGTATACCTATTTCTCGATTGCGTAAGAACTCTACTAGCGATATCCTTATCTCTAATATTCGCGAACTGTTCCGGATCTATATTTCTAATATATTCGACTACGTTGGCTATGTTCTCAACGTTCACACGATGGTTAGCCATTTTTCCATTATTCTTATTGAGATCGATACGTTCGTCTTTCAGGACACCAACTATGGAACTAAGCGCTTATAACCCATTATATATTTCATTTGACTTCTTTGTCTTTTTGCCTATTGGGCCACACTTTCTTTAAAAGATAAGGCACCATCGCGAGCGATTCTAGTTCATATTTTCCACACCTCATTGGTATATTTATATAAATAGTATCAATACTTCTCTTAACGTGTCGCGATATATCACTTCTCAGAAAAAAAGTTATCGACAATTCTTCAAAGAAATTTAAGGGCAGTGTAATTTTATACTTTTTACTGGAGTACCACTTTACTGTAGAAGAGTTATGTTTTGTTTAGCAGCTGAAATCGGTGCTTCTTTTAACGCATCGCGACACCAATCTGATAGTGTATATAAACTGTATATAAAGCTTTTTTCATTCAATCGTAAATTAATTTGATTACGAGCGATGAGACATGGATCGAGTAAAAGAATATATACATCGAAAATCGAGCGCAAAGGGTCCCTTGTCACCAGGTTCGTCAAGTTCACCACCATCGAGGGAAAAAGCGAGATATTGAGAATGTTCTGGAGAAAAAGCATCAAAGCCAACGTGTTCCTCATCATCATCATCATTGCCATCAAAATATAAGCCATAAGGTATCGCATTTAGAGTGACTAGTGTTAATGCATTTTATTTTCTGCTGAAAAAAGCGAATAGTAATAAAAAAAGTTTTTTGTTCCCTTTTTCCCAGAAAGCGCTGCTAGTAATATCCAAGCCACCGATCATATTTGAACACTGCCGATTGCGAAAAAAATTTTATAAAAATGAGAAAAAAATCAATGTAATAAAGATGTGAACAAAAAAATTTTGTTTGGATCACTACATATGTACTTTCTTTATTCCCCATCCTATTCTTTGTCTCGCTAGTAAAAAACAATGTATTGTAAAAACTACATAATAAAAGAAATGATATCGTATTTTTACTCTATTGATTCATTTCTTCCGTCCTTTTTTCGATATCATGTTACACATTCCGACATCTTTATTATCGGCGCACTCTATCTTTTTCTAATATGCGAACCCTTGTTACCTACGCATTTTGAGGAGGGCGGCGGGCGGTGGAGGGGACGGCGAGCGGCGAGCGGCGAGCGACGGGTGACGAAAAAAATACGGAACGCATAGCGAAATCCCATCATGCGTATCATTTATATAATTCATCGACCGGAGTATTATGTTTATGCGATACCAGTGATCGGGGACCTTCCCCGCTGCCTTCTCCTCTGCACCTACGAGTACCCTTCGCGCCCCGCGCTCCCTTGGACTTGGCTTAGAATCGCTATAATATATCTACTAACATGTGATATAAGTTTGACAGTTCTTTGTCATGACATTCATAGAATAGACGCAAATGTGTATTTTCAGTCGTCGTGTGAAAATTAAAAAAAAAATATCCTTGTAAATCATTATTTAAAAGGTTAAAAACTTGAAATTGATTTAAGACAATTAAAGGATGTATAATTCATAAGGGTGTATAAAAAATAACAAGCGTTTTTTAATCACTTTTGCAATTTATTGTAAAATTTGTCCAAAGTTCGAAAGGATCCGTGTCCAAATCGGACAGTACAAAAGATAACTTATAAGTCTGATTGTAGTACTACTGATCGGCTGATCAGATCTGGTCCAAGGAATTAAATCACTACAATATCATGAGTCATCAGACTCAGATTAATTGAGTTTTATTGATTTCAATTCTAATAAAAAATATAAACTGTCAGTAATTTCCTTTTCTGAATGAAATTTTTATCTTTGATTATCAAATTGCTCGTTTTTATTTAATACTAACAAAAATACATTAAAATATTTTAAAATTCGGTAAACTTTTACATTAAGGGATAAATAATCTTCGATGACTTTGACCTTGACCTTGACATATGTTATAAAGGTAAAGGTACTGATCAACTTTTCCTTATAAATTAATCGGCGGTCTCTTATAGTTTTCGAGATAGTTACATAAAATTCATTTTCAAAATTTCATTATTTTCTATGACACTTTGTATATGATGAATAGTGTATGTACATACACATTATATATAGAATCAGAGTTATTTCAAGGTAGTATATACATTTTGATACTACTATTGACTTTGTTTATCAGGTATTAGAAGCGACTCTTCCATCTCTCCCCCTGCTTAGGTATCCCCTATTGAAAAAATTTATCAAAGCGTTTTTTACGTTTTCAATACAGATGAGGGATACGTCAAAAGTCTCAAGCAAAAATGAAGGGAATTAAATAATTTTGCAAATGGCATCTTCGGTTTTACGATCGGACTTTATTTACGCCTTATAGAAAGCAAAAACTGCAAATAGGTCCAATTTATCCCAATCTCCTCTATGTATCGTTTCTATTTCTTCCTATTGTTAGTCATCGTGATATCTACAAATATTTGCCCAAAATTTGAAATTAATATATCTTTTAATTGATATTCATGATAATTGACTTTTTGAGAAAAAATTTGTTTATAATTTCCATTTATAACTATTTTTCGGCAATTCACAATTTTATACTTCAATATTACTGTAAGAAAAAATAAGAAAGTATATATAATATCATATTATAATTTTATATTTTATAAATGGAAAATGAAATTATTAGTAAAAATATATATATAAGAAATGCTTTAGAACATAGTCCATACATGTTCCAAGTATCCGACCTCTGCGTATATCTTTCTAGGGCATTCTCTCTCTCTCTCTCTCTCTTTCTCTCTCTCTCTCTCCCCTTCGTAAAAAGAGGCATTTTATACTTAGGTGGTAGGGATAACATGGTGTGTGCAGTTAGACGGTGTCTCTCTCTAAATCTCTGCCGTCACTATCTATGGATGTCGCGTAAGTGACAACAGCTACCAACTGTGAAACGCGAAACATATCCCGTGTCGAGAAGTTGGCATACTCAATCCTTTCTTGTCCGACATACTTTATAATGCATCTTCTTTTTCTAACCTTCTACTTTATAATGCAGTTTCTTTTTCTAACCTTCATAATTTCTGTCTTAAATCAAATATTGAAAAAAAATTAAATGAACAATGACAGTGCCAATAATCAATATGGAATAAGTAAAAGGATGTCACCAATACAATAAAT